CCCCAAAACCCCAAAACCCCAAAACCCCATGGTATGGAAATGTTGTTGAATTATCTGTTGATTAATTTGGTATTAGCTTTCATTACCTCCTCAAGATCATATCCATGATTTGCAACAGAAGGAACGGCATCTCAGAGGCTTTGGAATTGTTCTTTGGTGTATTTCTTGAAGAACTTTTGGATCTCTTTGTATGTGATGAGTTTGAGGAAGAAGTCATTATTAAAGTCACAGTTAAATTCATGCCATCTTGGATCAATTTCGTAAATATCTTCCAAAAATTGAGGACATCTCTTCTTATTAACTATCCAATCTTCACAATGAAGGTAAAATTGTCCATCCTTTACTTCTTTATCTAGATCAGCTTCCTTATTTACCTCAAAAATAACACCACCTTGTTTTACACCCAACACAGTTCATTTCAACACAATTATCATCTTTGACCACTCCTGTTCCTCATGTTGGACAGAATCTCTTTGCTCCTCTTTCAATGGCTCGATCCCAATCTTTCTTCATTTCCTGGTGTTCTAAACACTTATAATGAGATTCCATCTCTTCTCTTTGTTTCTCAGTGACAGTGAAGCTAGAAGGAACCTATAAATTAACTATGAATCATACATTAAACTCCTTGAAGCAGACTGAACAACTTCCCTTATTTTCAGTTCTCATTCAGTCAATAGAAGAAGTTTGAGGTGTTATTGATGTCCCAAATCTCGAAGTAGCTACAAAAAGGACATTTAATGAGTCTATCTGCAGTTTTATCAATGCTATTAGCGGTATAATGCATATTATAAGCCCTTATTTGATCAGATGTCATATGTTTTTCTATCTGAACTATGCTCAATTCAAGTTGACAAATACAGCATTTTGCAGGAATTTTAGTCTCTGGACTTGAAAGTATATCCTCTATCACTCCCTGACATCATTCCGGTCACACATGATGTCCTTTCCTACATCAGACCCCATCATGCCCTTCCTCCATCCTTCAACAACATATATAACACTCAATCCCATCCTTTGTCTCCATTATTTCAATCTTTTATATCCCTGAAGGGGTTTTGGGGTTTTGGGGTTTTGGGGTTTTGGGG